CATTTAGCTGACAGGGTTCTGCAGCCAAAGTTAAATGTCTGAGTGTACGTCTCTCTGCAGAGGAAGAAGTGGAGCCTGGGCATCAAGTGTGTAAATGTAGGTTTTTTTTTGTGAGTTCGGTGAAGTTCACAACTCTCAAAGTCCCTTCAATTAAAATCTCCCATGACCCTCCTTTCTCTCCTCTTTTCTGCTCATCGTACACGTCAACCTGCATTAAAAACCACCTGTGCAACTGTTCCCTAAACAGGGTGTCAAAACAAGTTTGCAATTCTTTTTCCGCCAGCACAACAAGAATAGTGAGTTTTAATGAGCCTGGAATTTTCAGGTTGACAGACAATATGTTGCTCAGTTTGTATCCCCTCATGACATGAGTGTGTTTTTAATGAGCTCCATTCCCAGGAGGAGCGGTTGATTTTAGCTGTTTGGACCCCTGCATGACAAGAATCCTGGTATGTTTTAATTAGCCGGGGTCCAAATGTACAGGACGAGACTATATTTATCCACTTTTTGGTTCCCCCAGTGACAAGGATACCAGTTTATTTTTAATGTGGGTGAGACACCACACAATGTGTCAAATGCGGCAGCTTTTGGGCTGAAAGTCTAAAAGCTCCAAACCCATAACTTGTACTTAATTACAGTAAAATCATGACATCTTAATGCTCATTGCTGCAATTTGACTTGTAGCGCACAAGCAGCTTACTCTATTGTTTTTTGGAGTCAAATCTGACATTACTTGCTCTGAATTGAGCAGAACTGTAAACTCTCTGCTCTGGTGAAATCCTCCACTTTACATGACTGTGATTATAAATTAATTTGAAGCCTGCCGGGTGTAGGCGGTGTTTTCCTGGTTGTTTTAATTGAATGTGACTTATCTGCGAATACGACAAGACACAACAGAAGGCATGAAAAGAGTTATGCTGGAGCTGTTGTTTATTGAGTGTGATGATGTGCCTGTGTCTCTGTGTTTGTGCTGCTGTGAATGTATTTCTGTGCAACTGTGTCATGGGGACAATTAAACGGTGCTGCTTTCTGTGGTAGTAAGCCTGTAATTATGTGACACAACAATATCCCCTGCCAAAGTTAAACAACAGCACATTACTGTATTAGCCAGATGTATTACCTGATAGCTCCTGTCTCAGCATACTGTAGATTCTCATGCCAGCCACATTTTTGTAAAAGGACTTACTACATGTAAATGACCGTACATTGCATGACCCTCTCCCATACTGATTCCTAACTATCCCTTCACTACAGAGTGTCACTTCAAATTAATTCATACTCACAGCCATAGAGACATTTGCATGTAAAGAGAGGGTATAAATAGAAAGGTAAATGGTGGGGCACACTCTCCACCATCTACAAAGAGCAGTAAACAGCTTTCACTATATAAACAGACAGCATGCTTTTTTAACAGTATATTGCGGATTGTTTAAGACCATGTCTGAAACAATGAGCATATTGAATACATTTCCTACCTCATGAATAGTTTACAAAGCCTTTTTAAGGAAATGTTTAAGTTTACATCCTTGTTTGCTTACCAGCTGGTCACCTCGTTGACTGCCTTTTTATTATTTATTTACGGATATCAGTATGAATGCCGAATACTTTGGAAACGGGGGAATCTTTTGGTTTTAAAAGCATTCTGGTTTCCAATTTTGGTCCATGTAGTATTGACCAATCAGAGTTGCAATCTATGCGGAGAGCAAAAGAAGCAGAACATATTGTCCAAAATATAATCTCCAAGCCCGGCAGCTCACATGTGACAACAATTTAGCTTTTCATTAGCAAGGCTTATTGGCTATTTGTTAAAAAAAACTGTTGAAATAGTCCCTCGGCTCCAACTTAATTTGTATGTCTCAGTTTGTCTATACCCACTATAAAAACAATATGTATAGGTAGAGACATTCTTCGCCCAGATATCCATTATCCAGATATGCCATGGATTCAAAGATTGGCTACATCTCTGAGTACTGGAGAACAATATGTAAATGAAACAGCATCCCTTTAAGGGTCATACTGTCCTCCCCCAACACCAGGCCTAGGGTTTGTAGTGGTGCTGTCAACGGCGTGGAAATTACATTTGCAAATTGAAGATGGACACTAGTGCTGTCTCAAGCAATCCCCAAACTATTTGTGTAACTGGTTTGGACAGTTGTAATTGCATACTGCTGCTGGAAAACAGGCACTTGAGAGGAACACAGAGAGAGGAAATAAATATGTGTTAGTGCAACTGCTTGTGAGCGAGAGACCAAAAGCAAGCAAGTGTTACGATTCAATTACAAATGCCCTTGACGAAAATATGTTGATTCATATTGGTGGATATAGCTCCTGTTTTGAGTTTTGTACTGTATGATTGACTGATGATCAGTTTTGATTTCCAGTCGGCAGTCAGAGCCTATAGGAGCAGCCCATAAGACAACCTTCACCCCCAAAAAACACAAAAAGAAAAACATATATCATCCACTATCCCTGAACGTTGTCACATGCCAATTTGGTAGACATTGCCCTATCCTGAACCCTCTCAAGAAAAAAACTTTAGGGTACCTTTATTTTGTTTTGATAAAACAAGTTTAGTTTATACAAAAGGATTTCACCTTTACTTTAGTTATTTTAATCACATACAGCGTTATTAAAAAGTATTAAAGGTTTGTTCAAAACCAAAGTATTGTTTATGGTCTAGCAAGTCAACCCATATGCTTGACTTGTCCAGCTATTACCACATGGTACTAGACAAAATAATATTTTCTCCCACACCAATATGGACTAACTTTTCACCTTTTATACAATATACCACCTGCTGATATCTAGATGATTTATCAAACTTGGAAGTGAGTTCAGGACGGTTTGTTGTTGTTCTTCTGAAGACCTCACGATATTTCATCCCTCTCAACCCCCATATAAAGGCAGAATAATGCATGTTCAATCAAATGCAGTCAGACGCATGCAAGAGATAATACCCCTTTGAAGCCTATCATTTTATGTATGTGACAACGTGTCCGCCCAATATATGTCTGTGTGATGGAGGAGGACATGTATATATTCTCATGACAAATATGGTACTTTGCTAATGTCAATGGTGCCAGTGTGTTGGGCTTGCAATGCAGATTTATGGCATATTTTGTGCATGTCTCAGCAAGTGTGAGTGCGGCAGTGTGTGAGGATGTGGGTGGAGTTGAAGTTTTCAAGGTGATTTTAATATTTATCACTGCTTTCCTTTGTTGTTAGATATTTCAGTGGACAACTCTGCCATCCCTGCTCACTTCAGCCCTTCCTTCTAGCTTTGTCACTTTCTTCTCCTTTTTCTGGTCGACCATTTCTTTCTATCATCCCCTTTCATCTCCTTTTTGTAACCTCATATCTAAAGCAGAGAAGTATTTCTCTAGATTGGTATTTCTTTAGTTTGTGAACTCTTCCCCTCTCTACCTGTACTCTGCCACTCTCCATCGCTATATATTGCTTTTAAAATACTGCAGCTTATATTTTGCCTATAGTCAATAACAGAGACTCTGTCCTTGACACGCACTTATAGCTCCTATATATCACTTCAGAGAACTTCAGTCAGTATTGGAATACCTACTGATGAAGTGGTTTTTATTAAAATACTTCAGATAAAGGTCAAATGATGAGAAGAATCGGGGTAAACATCATACAAAACAGAACAGAATAAAAACACAAACAACAATTGCATTTAAAGAAATAATACATTTGTTTTATCAAGCGCTTTTACAGGTGCCCAAAGACCCCTTAAAGAGATCCAAATAAATATATAAAATCAAATTAAAATCCAGCTACTAAAACAACGTTTAACATACCAGCAATCACACATTAAATGCCAGTCTGAAAAAGGTGAGTTTTGGCCAGTGTTTTAGAGGTTGGGAAGTCAAGATATGTCTAGCCTTGATCTGCATTAACAAAATGAAAATCTTGAAAACACTTATTATATCTGACTTATAAGCTTGTTTAACCTTAAAAGAAAAGTTCAAATGAAAAGGAGTGTGTTTCTCATGGGGGCATTGCCTGTTGGAACCATGACTTGTATTCAGCCGGCACCTCTGTTCAACAGTTACAACATGTCATCATTCAGTGATGATACTGCTCTGTGTGCAGACTGTTTAAACATGGCAACCTAATTGAGACTTGGAAAGCCAAACACATGCACATTGCCTTGCTTTTTCTTTTCAAGTTTCAACACGAGTTGAGCAAAGGATAAACCAGTTAGCTTTAGAGGTTTATTTTTCAATGTAATAATAGGCAAAGCTATCTGTTTCCCCCTGCCTCCATTCACTGTGCGATGCTAGCCTCAGTACATCCTGAATTAAGGCCCTCTCTTAAAGATAACCTGTGTAGTTTTTCCATCAGCACATTTTTAGGATTGCATCTTGGAGAATATTTTCTCACATATCACAGTGTCTTCAAACCATTGCTTAAAGTTGTCTAGGTAATTTATCAGGGTTCCTTCGGAGCAAAGATCTTCTCATCTCTTTACTAGAAAGAAAGCAAATAAACGCATTACCCGAAATGTCCAACTTTCCCTTTTGAAATGTTTTTTTGATCCTCATCTTTTTTAGAGCAGATCTCAAATCCAGGCTTTGCTTACAGAAAACCATGTCCAAGGCAACCATGAGAGCATTTGGGGTTACTGGAGGGATGTTTTTGTATTTCCACCACATGTTTCGAGAATAACTAAAGCCTTTTTACCACTACTGCTGTCAGCCGTGTTCAACCCCTTCCCGGTCGGCACAGGGCTGACTTACTGAGACAGAGAGAGAGAGTGAGAAGGACAGAGTCAAGATAATGGATAAGCCAGCACAGTGACAAAGTGGTGATCCCTACAGCATGTGTGTGTATGTGTGTCCTTGTGTGTGTGCAAGCGGTTCTACAATCCGTTTTCTCCAGAGATACATCAATCAAACACAAGGTCACACTGTGTCTCTTCTACAGTCCTTTCCTTTTACTCCTTTCTTCACAACCATCCATCCATCCATCCATCCTCGCTTCTTTTAGTATCTCCTCAACCTCTCTTCCCCTTCTATTTCTTCTCTGTCCCTTGAAAAGTCTCCCCACACCTCTTCAATGTTGTGCCCTCTGTGCCTCCTCTGCCCTCCATGGATGAATGGATCGGATGGATAGATGAATGGGTGATGGATGAATGGCTGGCCGGTTTGGTAGCGGAGGGAAGACGGAGAGGGATCGGACCCGAGGGAGAGGCGCAGATCGGTGTACCTGCTGAAGCAAGCTTAAAAAGGACATGACACATGAGAACTTTTAGAGGAAAAGCACACTTTTTGCGGTCTTCATGCTCCTATATTTCAAACCTTTGACTACCCATCTGTCAATCCTCATGTCTGAGGATTGCGAAAGTATATATTTAAAGCGCAATTACGTTGCTAAACTTTCAAGTACCTGCATAGGCTGAAATGCATTAAGTAATAGATAAAGGAAGTTATCACTATCACTGCTTCTTGTTTGTAACATTTTAATTTACATTTTTTAATCATTTTATTTTAATTTCTAAATTATCTCAAAGGAGCGTTTTGCATCATAATTAAGTTATGTAGAAAAGGCCCAATTTGTAATGAACTTACAAACCCTGTTCCACACTATTAATAGCTACATGCCCACTCTTATTTTTAAATATTAGGTCACTGTTACACCATAAATCCTCATTAATTTGTATTCTGTGCATATGTTGAGAACTGTCAAAACACATCATTTCTGCAGATTTTACTGAATTGTATTTTAAAAGCTTTTTTCTAAAATGACATCTCAATTGGAAATCCTATAAATGGCAGACTCTTCCATCTCCCATCCATCAATTTTACTTCAGGGTTGCTTAGCAGACTAGACAGTTTCATCATAAAATGTTTACATTTCTTGAGTGTGCCACATCCAAACTCTGTGGCCATCAGTCAACAGTGGAACTTTTCTGTCCCCTAAAGACAGACATCTTTCTTCAAAAATCTAATCAACACAGATGTCTCACAAGACGAGAACTTCCTTTGTTTCATTATTCCAGCATCATTTGGAGTTTACCAGCACTGGGTTTTCCTATTCACAGTCGAGACTCCAGGCAAGGTAGCCAAGCGACTATTTAACAGATGGCAACAAGTAGGAAGCAGTCAAGTACAAATTCAACTTTAAATGAGCACAACCTTTTCACAATATGGCACAGTAAAAAAAACATTACATTTCACTTGTTAGACACTTTTATCCAAAGCGACTTCAGTCCTGTGGGCAATCCCCACAGGAGCCATTTGGGGGGAAGTGTCTTGCCCAGGGACACAACGACATGCTGACTGCAGTGGGACTCAAACTTGCTATCCTCCTCTGATTCGAAGATGAGCGCACTAATCCACTGAGCCACAGCCACAGCCTCCCTTATAAAGCAATAAAACATATTTTGTAAAATACTTTCAAGCCTGGAATTCGAAAGTTAGCAGCCACTTAGTGTTATAGTTGTTTTCCCGTTTCCAGGCTCAGCTACGCTAACTAGGCTTAAGCTTCATATTTATTTTGAAAAGACATAGTAAAAGGGGCTTTGATCTTCTCTCTAAGGAAGACAGTCAATACTTCTCCAAAGTGCAGAACTTTTGCTTTAAGGTTGTTTGTTTTCCTTGACTACAATAGCAACATCATTCAACCCATTCCCCACTGGATAACACAGAAGAATAAGTAACAATACAATCTTTAGAGGACCACCTGCTACTTTTAATCTTCTGTGAAGTGGGCCCAAAAGTGCATCTTTCACTGGCCTAACCCGAAACATCACCAGTCAATTATTTCAGTGGAAGCTGGCCAGTGCTATGGCTCCGATGCCTGTGGTATTCTTCTTCACTGTCACTTGGAAGGAAAGCATCCGCAGCTTGCCAATACTTTCTGCTGGTCCATGTCGACTTACTTTGTGCCATGGAGTTAACCTCTGCAGACACTCAGCTGCTCTTTATCCTTGAGTTTTATGAACTGCTGCCATAATTAGTATTCGGATTCCTCTCCAAGTATGTGCTAATTTCCCCAGGCACTTTATCTTCCCACAATGTTCCACTGCTATGCTTAACATATGTTCCCTCCAAATAATTCATGTAAATTGATTCTTTAAAAACACTTTCTTGGAGTCTGGTAGTAAAGTAGACATCCATAGTGAACAGTTTTATTTAGATTTAAATCAATCAAATGTTGTATTTGGGGAGTCACACCTTGGAGTTGGATAAATAGATCAATATTCTCGTCATATCCATCAGTTGGCTTACTTATTAAAACATCCATTTGTTTTGTTAAAGGTCCCATGACATGGCAATTTCTACTGATCATAATTCCATTGTTGAGGTCTACTAGAATAGATTTACATTGTTCAATGTTCCAAACTCACATTGGTTTCTCATACAGCATCTCTGTATAGTATGTGTATTCACTCTCTGTCCTACATGGCTTGTTGGAGCTCCTGCCCCCCTCCCTGTGACCCCACTGTGCTCTGATTGGTCAGCTCGCGCTCTCTGTTCTGATGAGTCCACCACCGTTACAGCTGGACATCAGTGTTTATGTGTTACAATGGCGTTAGCAACCAGAAAATGACACCAGTAATGACAAACAGATGAGAATGCTGCGTGGGGTCTGGGTGCCATGTTGGCGGGACGTTGCGGGGCTCGCTACCGCGCTCTTTGAGGCTTGAGGAGCGGCCAGTGTGAGCTGGATTACTGGTGTCGTTTCCTGGTTGCTGCGTGGGGTCTGCGAGACAGCGAGACATCGCATAACTCAGCCTGAGCACACACATACACTCACAGCCAGGCTGTTCGCACACAGTTCGCCGCACACTCACAGCCTGAGAAAAGATAAGGCTGAGTGAGTGTGTGTGTGTGAGGAGCTCTACGGATTGGTCCATTTGGTCTTCGTTATGTCACCGTGACCCGGAAGAAAAAAATTGAAAAAAAAAATCTCCAACGAGGCGTTCTGGGGCAGCATAGACAGGTCTTTTCTGTGTTAGTTTTACTCGCTACAGGGTGTACTTTGAGGGTTTGTGACTTTGCAGACCGTTTACATGCAGAAAAAGCTACATAACACACAAGGGGACGGGTAATAAGCAGAAAAGCATGACATGGGACCTTTAAATCTGTACAAAAACCTTATCTAAATTAAAATAATGTGTTTTATTTAGAGTCTGAATGAATGTCGAACTTTGCTGATGTGACAATAACCAAATATTAAAGCCAATATTGATGCCTTTATTCTCGGCAGCTTTTCTTTGCAGTTACTCATTCAACAATTGACACGCAGTCAGCATTTTCCATGTGCCTCATTGACTCCTCATGTATATTTGATGGTAACTCTAGCGTGTGTGAGCACAGACACGCGAACAGGCTCAATTGTGTAAAATGGCGTTAACATTCACATGGAGTTGTGTCGTGAAGGGACGGTTCCTAAGCAGCATGCCTGAGTGTGTGTCATGGTGATATAGTTGCTAAGCTGCGTGCGTCTTTGTGTAATAAACAACAATGTAGGTTTTCATCAAGCCCCTTTTTGACTCTCGGGTGATTGCTGCATTCACATTCACTTCCTTCCCTCTTCTTTCTTTGTCAACCTTTTCCTAATGGGGACTGTTTTTCCTGCCGCCCTTGGCAACCCGTACCTGCTTTAGCCCACCTGCCAAATTTAGATGGAGATAATTTGAATAATAAATAAGGGAGATATTGATTGAAAGCCTCCAGGTTGAAATTAAAAGGCATTGGGTTGATGATAAATCTGAAAAGACGAATGCTTTTCTCATTGACTGCACTTGATATTGTCTGAACAGAGAGGTCTATTTCAAAGCCTTTTCTTTTTTATAAATATGGTCGACACCTTGAACGCTCAACCCTTCATTCCCATCACACAGCTCTCCATAGAGCTTTTCATCAGCTTGACAACCTGGCATTAGATCGATGTATTCACTTTCTCATGCACAAAGTCATTTCAGTGATTATTGTATTACAGAAACTTTGAAAGAGGAGAACGGAACAAAATGTGTGTGTGCTTACAAGTACATATCAATGAGGAAGAAATGCATGAGAAAAATGTTGAGGGTGAGCATGATTGGAGACTTAAGGACGATAAGTACCGCCGGCATACAGGTGAACACTAACTATAGGGGCCCTATTATTGGATGTCTCATACAAACAAGGGCACGCTTGTGAGGAAATGTGCCTGTGACCTATGTGGAAGGAGATCCTGAGTGACACCATCCTGATTTTCCTTATACTATGCATTTGATTTCAAACACCTATAATGGCAAACACATGGAAGCAGTTTTTTTTAATCGAGATTTAACTTGAAAGAGGTGACAACGATTTCTTCAAATGAATCCTAGACAGTTACAAATTAGACTTTAAATGAGCCTTACCTATTCGTTCCGGGTGTACAGATTTAAAAAGGTTTATCTCATTTCAATTTGAAATCTCATGGTGTTCATCTGTCAGTTTAGGTTAAAACCCAGACTGTTTACTGTGTCATCCCATTTCATTCTTATCATGTGAGGGGGAAAGCAGACTGACAGGTAGAGGGAAGGAGGCAGATGAGAAGAGACAGAGGAGGGAAGAAACCGAGAGGTGAAAGAGAGACAGAGATGCCCCATAGAGAACAAATGGCTGCTTAGTAATAAATGAGGAGCATCAGCTTACACTGAAGGATAAAAAGGCAGTCAAGCAGGGGATACACATCTGTCATCTGCTGTTCACACACACACAAACACACATACACACACCCACAGGCCAGCTGGCAGAGTCTGATGTAACTAGTGATTATTGTTCCATGCCTCGTGGATCTTTCTGCATTGCTAACCGGAGATGCACCCATAGAAAATCCCTAAAAGGGTAACGGGTAGAATTCTCGCTCACATCACAGAGACCTTGGATGGTGGACGAAGGCAAAAGCAATCATGCCGTGTATGTGGCTGGAAAGATAATGAGGGTGCACATTGGTCAGGGCACCTGTACAGAGATGTGGAACTAAAGGGACAGCATGGACCTCATGACCATTGAGCTTAAATAATAAAATATTTCAACCCGCTGGAGAGAATTCAGTTAGCAGATGGCAAACAATTGTCATTTTGGTCATCATCATGTCGCTGCTGGGAAATCCTGTCAAGGAATTTGAGTATGTTTGGATCTTATACTATTGCACAGAAAATACAATCCAGTCTCTCAAAGAATAGTTTTCATACAATACAAACAACCTCTTGCTCTTTGAAACAAATTGTCTGTTGTGTAT